TTAGGCCCATTGAACCTTAGACAATTACCTATCATTTGTACCTAGTGGGTAACAATGATTTACCGTTAGGATTTTTTGTCAGACTTTTAAAAAATAGAGGTAGGCATGTTAGACCCTGTAGACACAAGTTCGGACCTATGGTGAAGACAAACCATGAGTTGTACCACCTGGGCCTTATGACCCATTGGAACTGTGCTCTGTTTTTGGCATTTGATGTAATTATACAATAAGTGTTAAAACAAAGTCAATTGGTTGGAAGAAATCGCTGTGTTTGTGACTTTTTTTTCTAACTGCTTTCCTAACTAAATTTTGCTTAACCAATCGGACTTAAAGCCTAGACCATTTGATTTTCAGGAATAATCTTAAACTATTCAATAATTTGTCGACTTTTGTCTTGTATATGATATGTAGATGATGGTGGCCCTTAAAGAAAATCTGCTAGTCCTAACTTTTATTTCTATTGCAAAATTTCGATGGTCAAAAACCTTCGGATCACAACTTTTCGAAAATCTGAATTGTAGAATACAAGGTCATGGCGTTTCTCAGACTGTTTATGACTTAATCTGTTGGTTGTGTAGTGATTGATACTTGAGTTTGAGAGAACAAGATTTATTTCAGTCTTAGTGTAATACGCTCTGGACAATCTTTCAGTAATTGTACATACTCTTATTTCGATGCTTTGTGTCTTTAGCTATTGTCTAAATGTTAGTGTGTGTGGTTTTTTTTGTGGTTCTTGTACCGATCTTTTAATCTATTTTCAACTGATTTTACAGTTTGTTCTTATGTTGTACTGTTACACCACTGACAAAGTTCAGGAATGGGTTGAACGCTCACAAACATGTTTAACTCTATTTGCATGCATATTTTGTATGTGCCTGTCCCAAATTAGGAGCCTATAGGTCAGTGGTTGTCGTTTGTTCATGTCTGTCGACTTATTTTTTTATTTTTTGTAAAAAAAAATATAGCCAACTATACGGTATGGGTTTTTGTCATTGTTGAAAGCCGTATGGTTGCCTATAAATGCTAACATCCTAATAGTCTAGATGAAAGCCATATAACGCCGGGAAGCTCATCATATGGTTTGTTTTTAAGTTTTTTCATGTTGAAGGTAATAGGTAAGCTCGAAGTAGGAAATCCAGTCACTGTCTAATGCCTCGATCGTTCACACGTACAAAAAATGTACATTTAATTCGAATTGAATTCGACTCGATTTATCCCCCCATCTATCGTTAAAAAAGGGGGAATGCATAAATTGAAAACAGCATAACTCGATCTAAGACTACAAATGCAATTGAGCTGAAAATCTAACTTGGCCTCACAGGCACTTGTGTCAGAAAAAATATCCCTATACGTTAGATTAAGGTATCAGTTATATTGTTTTCTGAGACAAGTTACCTTTTTTTTTAAGCACTACGAAATTGTGCAAAATTTTTAAAACAAATCAATTGATCAGTGTTTGATTCAAAGAGAGAAATTATTGCTACTCTCAATTCAATAGGAACGTTTTTGGCCATTTATCCAGTTAAACAACGGTATCCGAAGTTTTTCGTGATTGGCCGAGAAGGTCGATTTTCCTAATTTTTTAAATGTTCTTTTTTGGAGATTTTCTTTAGTCACTATGTTTTACTTGATTTTGGTACATTGTTACTTTGAAAATTGATTCATGTCTTTCTTCAGACTTAATCTGATATTAACATACAGATGGTCGAAGCCCGGGGGTGGGGGAGGGGTGTCGAAGTCCCTGGAGGTGTGGAACTGACCCCTCCTGTTAAAGTAAAAAGGGGTGGCAAAAGTTAAAAACGATCAAAAACAGAACTACTCGAAAACTACAAATGGGATTGTGCTGCAAATAGAAATTGACTTGTATTTCTAATAGTGCTATAATCATTGTACAAGATTTAAAAACATCATTTGTTCCAATCTCAACTTGTCATCTATATTTCAATGTATAATTTTGTATACATTGTATTCGACCCTTTTAAACCCACACAGTAGTGACATTTTCATTCATGCGATCGGCCACAAATGTACACATTGTTTATCTAAAGCACCGTTAAGGGTTAAAAGATCGAATACAATGTATACAAAATTACACATAGAATTTTATTTAAACAACAAACACGTGTCAATAAATTTTTTTCGACATGCGAGACCTGGCTAAATGTTTATACAAAATCGACTTATTAATAATTGGTAGCAAGGCGTATTTAGCGGGATGGCAGAGGACCCTAGTCCCCCTTTTATATATGTATTTACATTAAGAAACAACATTAAATGTTTAGATGATAAAACGCTCTACAGTGATCGTCTTAAGGTTATTAAAGGTCTTCAGACTTAATCTGATATTAACATACAGATGGTCGAAGCCCGGGGGTGGGGGGGAGGGGTGTCGAAGTCCCTGGAGGTGTGGCACTGACCCCTCCTGTTAAAGTAAAAAGGGGTGGCAAAAGTTAAAAACGATCAAAAACAGAACTACTCGAAAACTACAAATGGGATTGTGCTGCAAATAGAAATTGACTTGTATTTCTAATAGTGCTATAATCATTGTACAAGATTTAAAAACATCATTTGTTCCAATCTCAACTTGTCATCTATATTTCAATGTATAATTTTGTATACATTGTATTCGACCCTTTTAAACCCACACAGTAGTGACATTTTCATTCATGCGATCGGCCACAAATGTACACACTGTTTATCTAAAGCACCGTTAAGGGTTAAAAGATCGAATACAATGTATACAAAATTACACATAGAATTTTATTTAAACAACAAACACGTGTCAATAAATTTTTTTCGACATGCGAGACCTGGCTAAATGTTTATACAAAATCGACTTATTAATAATTGGTAGCAGAGGCGTATTTAGCGGGATGGCAGAGGACCCTAGTCCCCCTTTTATATATGTATTTACATTAAGAAACAACATTAAATGTTTAGATGATAAAACGCTCTACAGTGATCGTCTTAAGGTTATTAAAGGTCTGCAGAGAACTTCAACATTTATATATATAGGGAGCTACCATTTGATTTTTATAGGAGGGGGGTCTGTGATGAAATTGAAAAAAGGCAGGACCTGAATATTGGACAAAACAAAATGGCAGGTTTCAAAAGATGAGATAATAAAAAAGCACGATATTATCTTAGAAAAACCTTCCAGAGATAGAGCGAAAACAAAGCAGAATACATATTTCGGATATAAAAATTCTTCCTGCCACCCCCTAGAAATCAAAGTGTTGCCCCTTATGAAACGGATGCACTCATTGGATGATATTTTCTTTAAATTTAGCAATTCAGTATATACTTAATTGAATTAAGGATATTGCTTAAATGAATTAAGCATATGCTGAAATGAATTTAGCATATGCTGAAATGAATTAAGCATTTGCTGAAATGAATTTAGCATATGCTGAAATGCGTTAAGCTTATGCTGAAATAGATTTGTAGAATAATTATGACCATGATTCCGCGCCTACATTTCTGTATAAGCTAAATTATTCAGCATATGCTGAATTGATTTTAGCATATGCTAAAATGAATTAAGCATACCCTAAATGATTTTAGCATATGCTAAAATCATTTAAGCATATGCTAAAATCATTTAAGCATATGCTAAATTATAATATAGCATATGCTAAATTATAATATAGCATATGCTAAAATGATTTAAGCATATGCTAAATTCGATATTTATGATCCTAATTCCGCGTCATAAAGAACAACAAAAGTTTACGACTTAAAGTAAAGTTACCAGAGGAAAGTTTTCCTGTCGAAGGTCAATGGTTCTCTCCAGGCACTACATATACCTCCATCTTCTACAACAGACCGCCGTGATATAGCTAAGTGTACTGAATGTGGGGTTGAACACCAACAAACAAATAAAAAAAAAACAAATTGACTAAACGAATACTAGTTAAAAGTAAGTGATCTCATGTCAATGAGACCGCAATTCGAACAAAAAAATAGACTATTCAAGTTCTACCGTCAACAAGTACTATTGTTTTATTTCGATCGCTGGGAAACGCAGGCTGTTGTTTCAACAACAACGGCCATGTCAACCGAATTGGGACATTCAAAATGTGTTAAAAATATTGGGGCAATATATCCAAATAAAACCTATTGAAGTGATGAAATCACTGCTAAGGAATGTCAATGTACAAGGAACGGACACAAGCAACAAAATTGCACTCCAAAAAGTAGGCAAATTTGAATCGAATTAATAAAGTCTGATGTGGTGAATGGAATTTTAAAGGCTATTGTGGGCTAGATTTGTTAAGCGTTGGCAAACTTACTCTTATGTATGTCGAATACAGAAAAAAGTTCTCCATTAAACGTGCAATCAATGCTTTAGTTTATCGGAGATAATATTGCCGATAAGATATTTGATATTCAGGGTTTAATGATTTTCAAGCAAATTTTTTTAATTATGTTCCGTGTGAACAGATATTCCTACATAGCTTGAGTCAACTTGGGAGCAAGGACCACAGCTCATGTAACATTTTAGGAAATTTTTTGGTTTCGATGGTTTTTCTTCGGAAGTTTGATTTTAACAACTCTTTCTTGCATGTTAACCGACAACCCCCCCCCCCCCCTTTTCCCCCCGCTCCCAAAAAAAGACAATTGACAAACCATTCATAAAATTATATATTATGCACTGTGGTGCCCTGGACACAGGAAAGTTGTTCCATCTTGAAAGGAAAGTATCTCCATCTTGAAAGGAAAGTCACTCCATTTTTAAAGGAAAGTAGTTACATCTTGAAAGAAAAGTAACTCAATTTTTAAAGGAGTAGGACACAAAGTACATAAAAAATAGGCTGAAAGTTCCAAGGGGACATTCAACACTCATAAGTCTATATAAGCTTACAACGTTCACAAAACACTACATAGAAAACTGAATACTGAGCAATGGGGATCCCATCAAAAAGTGATATCTATATGAATGTACAGGCTTAATTATGTGTTCAATACGTTTATAAAGATAAACGATCATTACCATTTAGATATTAACGAATGTGAAAATGAAGAAGGAATGAAATGTGAAGGAAAATGTACAAATCTTGAAGGATCTTTTAAATGTGAATGTACTAGCTCTGGTTTAAAGCTCTCATGGGATGGTGTATCTTGTTCAGGTAAGTTGTTTTAATAGATATAATAATCTAACGTCATAGTACGTGAAATGTTATCTTAAATGAATGAATTAATAAGTTCTATTTCTCATTTACTATAGATTACATATTTACAGAGAATATATATATATAATTAATTACATTACATATTAAAGCACAAGTACGACTGTACGTGATTTTAGCAGAATAATTCTATGTTTGAGATTCTGAAAAGAAGTACACATGAAATGCCACTGTAGTATGAAATTATTCAAAAATTGCATTCTTTACAAATGACCAATAGTACAGTTTAGTTTAATTTTATTTTATTTTTTTTTTTTTGCAAATGGCACTGTTTGATTTTGTTTTGTCCTGTATATCAGCTTCAATTCTTTATTTAATAGTTTAAGCTTAAATTACAGATATAAACGAATGTCAGGAAGGTGTCAATTTCTGTGAAGATATTTGTATTAATACATTCGGTTCGTATGTTTGTAAGTGTAACATGACGGGATATGTCCTTGCACCAGATGGTAGAGGGTGTGAAGGTATGTTGAATACTTGCATTTTCGTCGATATTTCGTGGTTTCAATAAAGTCTGCATACATTCCTATACACCTTATCGCTATTTATTCGCCATTACTGGACATCACAAAGGTTTCCGTAAAATTTTGACGTCAAAGTAGAAAATAACTGACGCCACAATGGAAAAGTGATTGTTGTATGACGTCAATAGTTCAACCGGCGCAGATTTCCAAACAGCGATAAGGTCTTTTTTCAATGCTTTGAACATTTACATTCGTTGTTACCCTGAAACTATGAAATATACGGAAATTTGTATCCAACAAATAATAATGAATTCTTAGTATAAAAAATTAAGAAGATACAAAGAGGCAATCAAATCCGTTCCTCAAAGAAAGAGCGATACGATTTTCTTTTACAAAACACTACACTGACAAATAAAGATTGAACAAAACGAACATCAACAAAAATCAGCGGGTGATCTCAGATGTTCAATGAAGGTAAATCAGTTCCCGGTTTATAAGTGTCTACGATAAATGGAGCATATCTGTCGTCATCTGTGACACAGACATTTTATAGAGGTAAACAATCACGATAAGGTGATATGACATCAGCTTTTCAATGAAGAACCGACTGTTCACTGCATGAATTACTCTCTCTTATCGAAATCGTGAACGGATATACAAACCCTGAGATGTTGTAATGACATAGACATATATATTATATATGCAGTTGCTTTTTGGGTACTGTTTCATAAAATTGTAAAGGTCACAATTTGTTAATAGTCTTGAAAAAGAGAAAAGTCATGTTATGTTGCATTTTTATTAACTTAATGAAGTGTTATAGATATTTAGGAAAACAAACTACCTATCTTATAGAACAATGTTTTTGCGAAGGGCATTAAAACCAAAAGTAAACGTCAAACAGAGCATCTAAATTGTCTTAGGTCAATTTTAACTGAAGGAGTTTAGTACAGTTACATAACTTTTAATTTGAAAACAGGTGGGGCAAATTCCACAGTATTATTCAAAATTTAAAGTTGTCATTTCCTACTGGAAATATGCCATTCTCCAATAACCGACTTTGTTTTAAATTTAGCATTTTTGAAAAAGGGAAATAAATTTGGCGACAGATGTTTAAATAACTTAAATCAATTGCGAATATACAGATTTTAATGACCCAAAACAAGGAATTTTAGGGAACATCAACGTTTCCAATTTTTGTTGAAAATTCTCAACTGGTTAACTAGACGATATAGTCGGTCTTTCAATTGACCATGGGGAATAGTATTGTAAAACTTCGAAAATTCAAAGGTTTAGAATTTATAATTGCAAAATTGCAAAGTTTGTAATTGGAGATTTGTTAGAAAATCTTTATAACTTTTCAAAATCCATATCTAATTGAAACCGCTGCTATTATAATACAAAGGTAGGACAAAATGTATCACTGTCTATACAAACCTTATGAAAAGTACATGTTTTGATAGCTTCTATGAAGTTTCAATATTCAAGCGTCATTTTTTTTAAATCCATTTCGACTAGAAATATGTAATGCACTTACGACGTAAAACTTATTACCAGATCCCATGCATTGCACCACTGTCGTTCGGGTTTGGCTTACTTTTGGTTTTATCAGCTCTGCAATGTTTGTATTAAGTTTTGGACTTTTAAATGTTTTGCACTCAAGCATAACTGAAAATGCATTAAACGTTTAAACGTCTGGTACAGTAAACTTTGTATCGTTCATTTTATACCATTTGCTTCGTTGAGGTATGGATATATGTGGCCTACTAGGTGTTGAATCCCTTTCAACATAATCTAAAATTGGAAAAATTGGGTTATTGGAAAATGTAGCCATAAGAGGCTTTACCGTATAGGTACATTAAACTATTTCACTTACTTCTTAACAGTCAAAATATTATTCAGAGATTAATGTTGCTTTTGAGGGCATTTTGTAAAATTTTTCAGCGAAAAACATCGCTCACCACGTTGACATAGCCGGGTGTTTTGTTTTGTCAGTTTATGTGCATTTCCTTTTTTTTAATTTACTTTGGAATTCGGTACTTTTGTAAATAGATATTTCACCAAAAGTAAATTAATTTGTAGCCGAATGACCACATATAAATTTACATGCAAATTAATTTCGGTTTGTTTAAGGATTTTTTTTATATTAGTCTTAGGGACAATACTCGAAATTTGACAAAAGCCACTTCAGGTTTATGTGATGTGGTGATTTGTTTAGAAATAAGCCACCTTATAGTAAGAACCTAAAGGTACATACATGCTATGACACCATGAATTTAGGTAATGACTGAAAACCTAAACAGCTAATGTCCGAGTACCAATTAAAGATGACAATTGAAACCTTTATTATCAGAGCCATGCATCCGAATTGTTAATGCTTTCTCCTAAAGTATAATGTACCTATGTAATAAATTGGGTTTTAGTGTGAAAGTAACTTGGTTTTTTGCTATTTTGATTTAAATGGTGAACATGAAATAGAACCATTCATTTAATCAGCTTTATTTCATTTCTTTTTTATATTACAGATTTCAATGAATGTTTATCGCCAATAACAAATGATTGTCAACTTATATGTAATAACTATGAAAGCTCATACAATTGCTCCTGTCCACCTGGATATATACAGACTAGTGATACAAATTGTGAAGGTGATTTTTTTCTTTATTTGTAAACAACGTTAAGGCACAAATTTTAACAAATTGTTTACTTAATGTATTTATGTATGCCGAGGACCGAAAGCCATCATTAACCACCAGGAACAAGACAACACAAAAACAAAACATAATTACAGTTTAAGACATTTATATTTAATAAAACAACATTACTAAGTATCAATATTTAGGTATTGTACTTCAAAAATGGAGAATTTCATTGAATGTCCTAAGAAATATACAAGATATAATTTGTATAGTATTATTTAACCTTAAAAAATTACCGCAACACTTTATAAATGTCATGTGTCCGAAGCGCTTTTCTGTATTTGCCATCATCAGGAATGCTCAAAGTTGAATATTTGAAAGCAAAGGGTGTATGATAACAGAAATTGTTGAAGAGCTATATGAACAAAATGATCAAAGAAATAGTTAAGTATATTAAAATGAAATGATATATATTAAATGTATGTAAACACTATCAGGTACGTTGTATTACAGCATGTCCAGTTGGTACTTACCATGATGCAGAGAAAGATAGTTGCATTCGATGTCCTATATGGTCAACCACATCAGATAGAGGCCAGTTCTCAATGGCTAGTTGTGAATGTATAGATGGTTATGTTGGAAATCTCAGCATAGCGATTCCTTGTAAAGGTAACATTTTATTTTAGGAGAAGTATAGTAACAGCCATTATCTTGCCCCACAAATTTCAAAAATAGTAAAATTGTTCAATCCTAAAGGATCTGTATACCCTTCCAGAGTGGGATTCCTGTTGTTTTTGTTTTTCTATGTTATGTTTTGTTTTTTGTTGTTTGTCTTTTGATCGTTTTTCATTTTTTGTCATAACATCGTCAATTTTTTTTCGACTAATGAGTTTGTATGTCCCTTTGGTATCTTTCACCCCTTTTTTTAAATATTTCACTATTTTTTATTAATAAATGAACATGACGAAACACTTAAGTACAGAAATGTCAGTTGTGATGTCACAGGGACGTCATAAACATGTTGAAGTTGGTATATTTGACCTAAAATGGGTCATAGGTGTTTTGCAAAATTAAATATGAACCAGTGTCTAAACAGATATATAACACACATTTACATCATAAAAATACTTATCGAAGATACATTGACTTCTAGTTTCAAAATGTAAGGTCTTGGCTCAAACCTACATATTTTACAAAGACTATATCTCAAAATGAGGATATGTTACAATTAATAACATAAAAACTGCTTCAAATGAACCGCTAAACCAAGCAAAGTCAACTTGAGCATAGGAGTATTTATAGATTTAGAGTATAAGAATCTCAATTAAGAAAACAAGGAAAGTCATACATGTAATCTTATATTGTTATAGATAAGAATGAGTGTGAAGATGACAACTTCGGATGTGAGCAGCAGTGTAAGAATATGGAAGGTTATGCCTATTGTAGCTGTCAACGAGGGTATAACCTACATAAAAACAAGAAAAATTGCACAGGTTTGATATATCGGAACATCTTTTAAAATTTACTATACTTCTATTCGTTATCAATTTGAAAGCATGTCGAAATGTATGCCTATTTCATGAACATATTGAATCTACTTCAGGAATTAGAATAAAATGGTTATTAATTCCTGAAAAAAATGCATACATGAAACACATGTTCACCAGTAAAAGTAAGAATAAAGTTTGTAGAATAGATTTGACAAAACAGGGTAGTGTATGAAAAGTCTTTTTAATTTAGAATTTACGACCCACATTTATTAAATGAGTTATTCAACGATAAAAGTGCTAGACAAATAATTGAAAACCAACGATGTATCATTTTCATGTAAAAACTAATAAATGAAAACTGTCCAGGACCATCATTGACCATAATATTGAACCTTGTAAATGGTGTTTAAAAGAAAAATGAAGAACTAAATTGATTACACTGTCAACACTTGCTTTAAGGTATAAAGTCGAAGAAGTTAAACCTTCAGAAATAATATAAATGTATTAATTATTTATAACAGTTATTCGTATTTATTTCATAGAAAAATCCATTTGATTTTAAATCAGCTTCTTAGAGAAAAAACAGGATATGTAAATTGTCCTTTTTTTCTGATTGATTGGTTGAACTTTTGTGATGTATGCCCAAAAGGCTATATACATCAAGTCGATGAACATGCACTTGATTTTTTAAAATTAACATGAAATAAAAAGGGTCTAAAATGGAACACTAATGAGGAGCGTATTTTGACTACGATATTCAATGAAATGAAATTTCCTTAAAAAGCACGACTGTTATCAAAATCATTTATCCCTACGGAAAACAAAATGATTTTAAATCAAAATGCAGAAGTATACACACGAGAACATACTAAATAGAAAAGCTTACGCAATCTAAAAGATACCGTTTATTAATTTTAATCATACTCATACTAAAATAAGTCATGGAAAATTATGGTCAAAAATATGACAGAATCTGCCTGAATGTTTACATCATTTTTTTAATAATTTACCAACAATTTTTGTGTTTAAAAATATTTCTTTGTAAGTCTATCATATCCCTAATATATTCTAGGAGGAAAAGGAATTTGGAGTATGCGTCAATGAGACAAAAAATCTTGACGACAAAGTCAGTACAAATGTTTCAACAATAGACAAAGAGTCAAACAATTAGTCAAGTTCTACATTGAAAGTTGTATGTAAATTGTATAAAGACATACAAATTCTACCAATAAACGTTAAATTCTGTAAAGAGATAACTAAAGACTGTATTGGCTTCTAAAAAACCCAAGAACGATCTTGCATTTCCTTTTATATCTATATCCAGTAAATGTTAAACTACACATGTTTCTTTCTTCTCACAAGTGCTCTTACAACCGTTAAAGTTTCGTTATTACATATTGTTACAAAGCTAATGTTGATAGCGGTAGTAACTATTTCTGGTGTTAAAGTTTTGATTTTGTTTAAGTCTTGTTTAAGTTACTCTCCTTTGAATGATAGTTTGTCTTCGTGGAAACAGGGAGAATTCTACTCACTGTACTACACTCCCAAACAATCTTATGAAACAGAAATTGCAGATGTATTGCCTTACAATTATAATTTACTGTCTGTGATGTATTCCCTTTCAATAATAATTTACTGTCTATGGCAAAACTTCATAAAAAATCAACGAAACATCACGTTATTGATGTTTGATCAATACTAGCAATATTTAAACAATCTAGATTTTCCTATAGTTTAATTCGAATGAAATTTATGCACCCAAATTCACTCTTACTAAATCAAAAATTATTATTGATTGGTTTCCTGTTTTTGACCTTCGTATTGAAAACTGTAATGGTTATAATCCTTCCAACATTTATGATAAACAGGAAACTATTCCTTTTTTTTAAGATGGCGTGGTTCAGTTGGCTCCTTCTTATGTAGTGCCTATTTCTCAGTGTTTTCGAAATGCATTGTGTTTGCAGTGATGTTTCAGATTTCAATGAGCGAAATATACTCATTACTAAAACAATGAGGATATAGATATCAAAAATTGGTTTGAATATTTGTCTCAAATAAAGACATTTATCATATACTTATAGAAAATAATGGTATAATTGTACCCTATGATAAAACTTATTTGTTCATATATTTATTCATTAAATTTGAAGAATTGCCATAGCCGTGTGATATGACTTTTGTTATCAACTGCTTCCGGTTTATATCAACTGCTTCCGGTTATTATCACATGCTTTTCTGAAACGTTATCGCATGACAGTTCGACTTCATTCGGCAAATTCCGGAAAATGTACCTCAATGGTACGTTTTTTTTCAGTAAATCATAACAAAGTTGGAGAAAAAGAAAATATTAATCAGGAAAATATATTATTAAAAAATACAAAACAAATATTACAACAAATGCATTGTTTCAAAGTTTTAAGAATAGTTTTGTCTGTATGTCTTCTGCTGAAGTATATGATAAAAAGAACATAACATGTCGTTTTTCATATCAGACCCCTTATCAGCCCATGGTCAAAATCATCCCTCGAGCCTGTCGGATCTCGGGCTGATAACATGACCTAGGGCTGATAAGGGGTCTGATATGAAAAAAGGCCATGTTATAATCTATATTTATTGTTGAGGTAAAATTCCGCATGCATGAAAATAATGAAAAACTGGTATTTCCCATCCATCGTTTTACCCCTTTTAAAGGTGATACTATTTATAAAGCTAACAGGTTTAGGAATCTTTATTTTTGACTTTATGGGCTTGTTTGAAAAGCTTAAATTAAACTGTTGTTGATAAAACAATGCTTCGGGTAATGGTATATTTGAGATATGCACCTACTTTATAGTTAACTTTAAGCAAGACTAAAACGGTATTTTCTATATTCAAATTGTTGTATCATTTTGTATTGTTCATGAGGTTGCTATAAACAAATCTTTATTTTAACCACATAAATAAAGGCAACATTAGTATACCGCTGTTCGAAACTCATAAATCGATAGAGATAAAAACAAATCCGGGTTACAAACTAAAACTGAGGGAAACGCATCAAATAAAAGAGAAGAACAACGCCACAACAAAAACACAACATTAAAATGTAACACACACAGAAACGAACTATAATATAATAATGGCCATTTTCCTGACTTGGTACAGGACATTTTAAGAAAAAAATGGTGGGTTGAACCTTGTTTTGTGGCATGCCAAACCTACCGCTTTTATGGCAACGTCAAACAAAACACCAAAACGACAACATCACATGACAGGACCACAATAAAATTAAATGGGAGGACATATAGGACAAAGAAACACACGAATAAAAGCTAACAAAAGGTACTAGGCTTAAAATTCAATACGCCAGACGTGCGTCTCGTCCACACAAGACCAACCAGTGACGCTCAGATGAAAAAAGTTTGAAAGCCAAAACAAGTACAAAGCTGAAGAGCACCGAGGACCAAAACTTCCAAAAAGTTGCGCCTAACACGGCCAGGGTTTTCTGCCGTGGACAAGAACATCCTTATTGTTTAGAATAATCTATAATTTTGCAAACAGTAAATTTTATAAAATGACTATATAATAGATATACATGATAAAACCGAAGTGGGGACTAACTGCAGAATAAAAACGGATACATTACATAAAACAACTTAATCCAACACATAAAAATACACAGCCGAGTTAGCCGAAGCAATATTACAGCGTTGTTGTATGTTCTCGTGTTTTATTTCTTGTTACTGCACTGTCCGTTTTTTAACAATGCGAGGTTTGAGATATCAAATAACTGATTTTAAACCGCCATGTGTTAACATGTTTGTCCCAAAAAAGTAGCCCCGTTTATGGTTGTAAAAATCATAAAAATTCCAGATAATTGTTTTGTCATATTTCAATGTTTTCGTCTTTTTGTTATGTGAAGAATGTGTTGTTGATGGCAGTCCTTTAATTTATTCACAAAGCAAATTGTAAAATTAATAAACATACGTTTCAAGTTAAAAGCTTCAAGATGAACTTTTTCCATCAATCATTCCTGTAATTCCATAGAAAAAAGCTTAAGATAGAATAAGCTTTGTGATCAAACAAAGTTCATATAGGGTCAATATTGGTCCTCAAATTTCAAGAAAAGTCTTAAAAATCTTACATTTGACTATTTGTGGCCAAAATCTAATAGGTTTTTTTTATTCAGACCACATTTGCCACATCCATGAACCTACATCATTGTTTACTTGACATGTATCTATGCCATATACATCTTTTTTGGAAATAATTTGTTTTGATCGAGAGTGTGGTCAATTATTTTTAAAGTTCCTTAATTCCTTAATAGTCTATAAAATGAATTAAACAATAAAGGCGGCTTAAACTGGTATTATACCATACTTTTGAGGCTAACAAAAGTACCTAAAATAAACAGTTTACAGGGATAAATGTTGTATTTATCTAAGTTTGCTTATTCTATATCGAAGATAATGGTAATAAGTCCAATTTTCGCGGTAATCAGAGGTAAAGACACGTTAACTATATTGGTTATAAAAAGCAGATGCTTGACTAACGTAGTCATATTTCTATTGAATTATAATCGGAGATCTTGGAGTGATCTCCTCGTACGCAATGTCGTTTGGTTTCTGCATCTGTTTTATTATCACTTCAAACGTGGTGCTGTCTTTGAATGGATTCAATAATAGCACACTCATAAAAGAGAGCCAAAAGGTACCAAAGGGACATCCCAAAACATAAGTCGAAAATAAACTGACAACGTCATGCCAAAAAAATGGAAAACAACACAACGACAAACATCAGTATAAAAACACAACATAGACAACTAAAGACCGAACAACACGAACCTCACCAAAAAAACCTGGGTGATCACGAGTGTTATAGAAGGGTAAGCAGATTCTGCTCCACATATGGCACCGGACGTGTTGATCATGTAAGTACAAACCCGACCATAAGTCTAATTCTGTGAAACAAATGTTCAAAACGGTCAAACAACTCGTGATGGCATCCGTAAAATTTTCCATGATTTCAAGGTCACCACTTGGAACTCGTGATATCATAGCTTTCTTGTAATAAATTGTGTTTTTGTCTGATAAACTGTTTTCTTATATCTGTTTTTTTTTAGTTATATAATTATATGTCATTGTTCTATAGTTGCAACGCTAATTTATGACAGTTGATATCGTGTTATGATTAAGTATATGAAAATTGCCTCTTGTCACAAATGTATATGTGTCTAAAAGAAACTCCTCAAGTAAACCAGGCTTATAGACGCGCGTTTTGTCTACATAAGACTCACCAGTGACGCTCAAATCTAAATGTTTCTTCATATTACATATGTACTAATATCAATTTTATATTTCAGATTTAGATGAATGTAGATATCATAATCATTTCTGTGCTGATCTTTGTGAGAATTCTATTGGGTCATATAGTTGTTCATGTAGAAAAGGTTTTGAGCTGTATATAGATGGGAAATATTGTGTTGGTAGGTGTTACAGAATGACAGAATCCATGTATATAGCTTAACTGTTGTTTATGCTTGTTAAGGGGACAAAGAACAAATAAGGGAGTTAACTCTTTTAAAATCAGTTGAACGTATTTACCATATACTATAAGTAAGGAGAAATCAAGCTTCCCAATAATCAACATAAGTGTTTGTCAAACTGCTATATATATGCAATGAAATTATTCCTGTAAATTGTGTGATTCAAATTTCTTGAAATTTTTGTATTTTTGTCAACAGGTCACAGTTAATATTTTGTCAAAATTTTATGAAAATTAAACTAGCCAAATCTATTATAGTCAAAGTGTTGGGTACCCCCCTTAAGGTATTTATAACGAGTATTAATTTGTAAAACTCATAAATAAAACGCATTCATACTAACTGTAAAATGAAGTATATTTTGAATTCGTAAATTGTTGAAAAATAGGATTTTCTTGATGGTAATAACATTCGGGTTTATTTACAATTGATTTCAATGTATACCTAAAAAATATATTGCTGTCCCGTTATAAGCACTCATGATCCAGTAGACTTTTCGGATTACATAACATGTCTGGGAAAAGACGGTATACTTATTACTTGCAATTTATCTTGAAATAGTTATCAGTAAATCCGAAATCTTTCATATTGATATTATGTGTCTTTTGACATTTTGTAAATGAAAATAATGCTAAATAAATTTCGTGCGTATGGAGCGCTTTTCTGGGTTCATCTTCAGGAACATTTAAACCAAAATATTATAATACCGGGGATGTATAATTAGTATATGGTTGTTATATTGGCATGTGTGTTACTGTATAACAAACATAATTATTTTCAAATCAAATCATTAAAACACCCAGCCTATTGGACCTATATAGACCTGTATAAATACGTAGAAAAGTTATGAACTATATGACCAATGAGACATAAACAGAACAACCAAATTCATCGTAGGTCAACTTTGTCTGATTTGCCAGTTATTTTAAAGCTTAAGTACAGATCTGAGAAATCCAGCCTATTTCAATTGACTTTTACAGTCGTAATATTGTACTGCTGCACCAATGTCCCCCACAAAAAGATGAGCGCTTCAAACATGTTCACCCATTCTATATTCTTTTTTGTTTGTCTCAAGCTATATGATAGAAGTCCAGCTCTTGCAGTCGGTTTTTGACTGCCATAATTTCTTTTTGTTTTAATACTATCAGCTGAAATTTGTCTATTTAGTTTTCTCTTTCGAAATGTTTCTCATTTGGTTAAGCCGAGGACTTCACTAGCTTACTTGGTGGCATGTATACACCACTTATAATTGTGAGAACTGTTAAATTTGAAATATCTGTAAGTAAGAAATAACATAAACTACGAAGATATTGTTATAATAGAACTTTCTTTTTGAAACAAAACTACAAATGCAGCGAAATTAATTTGATTAACCATGCATCTTCCTATTTAGATTTTTTTTCTCGTCAGTGGCGTCTGAATCCAAGTATTTGAAATCCGAATGTAAAGTTTTGAAAGAAGGACGTTTACCCAAAATTATATTGAAGCGAAGGCCAGAACAAGCTTAAGAACAACTGCATTAAAACTTAATCACAAAATAGATCTTCTGTAATCGGATTTTCGATATGATGTTTATAACAACAGCAAAAAAATAATGAACCATTATCGTCAAACCGTAAGCATTTATACACTTGATATCACAAGACTTCCAGTAAATTATTTTCATCTTTTATATGCGTTCTATGAAATGTAATTGGAAACAAATATTTAACCCAAAAATGTGGTTAAGTCCGCACGCAAGACGAAAATTGTTGGTTTTTTTTTTTTTTTTTTTTGAAGGTTTGTGCATTTTTTAATGAAAAAAAAATAGTCCCAATTATAGCTTCATATTACTTTTCCCATACTTTTTCTGTGGGACACACACAGTAAGAACTTATAAGTGAACATATTGCATCTGACTTACCACAAGCATGTCGTTAAACTTTTAGATATTAACGAATGTTACGGAGATCGCAACCCATGTGACGAGCATTGTGAGAACACTTGGGGATCCTATAGATGTGGATGTCTGACTCAAGGACTTATTCTGTCACCTGATGGTCATACTTGTTTAAGTTAGTATATTTTCTAAAAACTTGTATTAAAATAAATTGGAAATGGTTGTGGTATAAATAACTAATACCGTTGAAATTTCTTTATGCAGGATATTAAAAAAACGCAATGCTTCAGATACAAATTTTGAATTGCAGGGATATAAATTAATTTGGAAGTTAAAAATGCACTGTTTAAGCTGAATATGAAATTCTAGCAAGTTGAAAAGGGAGATTGATAAACAGCTTGATATTATGCCTTAGTGTGAAATACTTCGCCGCCAAACTATGTTCGGTATCAGCTACCACCAAACAATTTTTTTTTCTTCAAATTCCTTAAAGTATATATATTTTTGTTTATACTAATAAAGTCTTGAATGCATTTAGATTTGTTTTTAAAATGATTTCAGAAAAACGTCCTAAGTTTTCGTGCCCTGATGATGTTTTGGTTAAAGTTACAGATGGAGCTATCGAAGTGAAAGTTGAGTTACCATCGGATATCTTTTCTAATGATCTAGATGTTTCTCCTGGATGGATAAAACGGGTTAGTAAGTTTCCTCTTGGCGAGACACTGGTCATGGTGACTTCACTTTATACTGACCCTGATGGCAATCCTGAAATCACATGCACTTTTAAAGTGAATGTCGACGACGTATAAGTCCTTTTTGTAATTTGGTGAATAAACTTTACTGAATACTCATTTTAAAAAGACACTGTCAGAGAGGTTTCCAATGTAAATGCTCAAAACAGATTGTTAAAATGTTCTTTCAATATTTTAAGTTATCTAAATCCTACTTTTTGTTCGCAAATTGTATTAGAACGCATCTTTAATTAAAAGCAACAACAAAAATTAACAGCTGAAATTTTAAAAGTTAGTTTCTAAATATTTCAGATCTCTTGTTTTTTTTCGACTTCATTAGTAAACCAATTTTATTTGAACAGGAACAATAAATCATTTAGTCATTTTCAGTCTTTCGGGTAATCTGAAGACTTTTCCACTGTTTATTCCATTTGTGGTAGTATCCTCTTGGCGTGGATCGGTACTTATACATCCCGCCATTGTGTTATTGTGCTATCGTCATTTTTTTTATATTCTTGTCTTTCATTTTTGCTTTTCTGCTTTGTCAATATGCCATTTTGTTTTTCTTTGTTAACATATTTGTTTGTTTTTATAGTGATCAAGATTATAACACAATGTTGACTGCTGTGCCCCCATTTTTGACATTTTTACCTATTATGTCTGTGTGTTTTGTTCACACATTGTTGTCAATATGATGGAATTTTGTTCACACATTGTTGTCAATATAATGGAATTGTATGCGACTGCCATAAAATTGAGAGGTTTAGCTAGCTATAAAACCAGGTTTATTCCACCAATGTCTACATAAGGAAATGCCTGTACCAAGTCAGGAATATGACAGTTGTTTTCCATTCGTTTGATGTGTTTGAGCTTTTAATTTTGCCATTTGATAAGGGACTTTCCGTTTTGAATTTTCCTTGGAGTTTTTTGGAGTTATTTTTGTTATTTTACTTTTTCCACTACTCTAAAATCAGTACTGTACGCTTGCAGTCAATTAAGATCAGTCTTTTCAGATGATGTTAAGACCAAAATGACCGTTTCAGACTAGCATTCACTTACTAGTGATTTATATGCTGATCTACCTGTATGTAATATATAAAGACGTTTTCTCTTACAAAACGGATACAAGAAATGAACACTATATATTATATAATAAAGATATATTGTCAAAATAATCTACGTGTAAGTTACAATACAAACTAGATATAAAGTAAACAACACATGTATAATATCACCATTGTTGGTAAATAACACATGTATAATATTACCATTGTGGATAAACAACACATGTATATTATAATCATTGTGGATAAACAACACATGTATATTATAATCATTGGGGAATATTAAAATTTGTTAAAAATTGATATACCTGAAAATTTAAATTTAGAATGAACATTACCACATTATATCAAGTTCTTTAAATCCGATATATAAATATAACATGTTAACAACATAGATAATGAACATACATATTTCAAAGTTTATTACTGTTTATAATTATTGCCGCGTTGTGCTTTGAATATGAACTTACAGGTAAACATGGTTTTACTGGAACAGAGAGCGAAAAAAGAGCCGATTTTGAAATGATTTAACAAATGTATTCTTTCTTTCCTTCTTTTTCTTAATATATAGGTAAACGCAGATGGAAATTTAAAAGATACATATTTTTGTGTAGTAATATTCTAATTGAAAAAAGAATATCATTAACAATCTCTTTCTCTAACATTTTCTAATAAACAAATTATTGTAAGCTCATTACATTCTGTTTTAAATATGAAATGTTCAAATGATAAAATCAAATCATAGTTTTGCCTACTAGGAGACATGTAGCAGTAGCGAAGGAGTAGACTGAAAAGTTTGGGGCCAAACTTCTAAAAGTGCCAAGCAAAAAAAAACTATTCTACAAACTGTTGTCTAATAGTTAAGGAGTAAGTCAGTGACATCTTTCATTTTGATTTATAATTTTCGATAATTTATTTTGGCCAAAAAGTGGGGGGTCCTACGTCAGTGCCGGGGTAATTATACTTTAGTTCAGAATTTATAAAGCACACAGAATAAAAGATATTTTAAATTTTAGCATCTACCAAAATAAATTGGTAGCATATTATGATATAAGGTGTTGAACCACAATGTCAGGACCCGACCAGAAAAAAAACATACCACAAGGCAGTACATATCAAAAAGAAAATAGATCTTACACATACTTTTGATTTATTTTAATTTGTTAAAAAAAAGAGACTTGTTTCTAAGATCAGAATTGTACGATTTTTTTTAACTTTCGAACTTCAGAGGGACGGTTCAGTCGTGAATTCAATTAAATATATGTTTATTTTGTTCCAACGAGCAACGATAGTGCATTTGTTTTACTTGAAATGAGTGTCACTTTAAATAAGATATGAATGCTTTAAATTGCAAAATTTAACAAAAACATGAATTTGTGATTTTTTTCAACCGTATCCACATTGTATGCGTTCTAAAGATAGAATAGCACTAACAGAACTTTATAAAAGTTACACTTAAGTATATAGGTTCTCTCATAAACAAATGGAAAATTATGAACAAAAAGGTATTTAGAGTTTTCCGTAGACACCGAATTGGGAAATAGTTCAACGCTATATGCAAAAGTGATTGTGTATAATTACCAAATGTCATGATAAAAATTTAGAAATGAAGAAAAAATTGAAATGTCTGAAAATTTGGAAGAGTTTAATGACAGATGTTTTCCATTCATTTGATGTGTTTGAGCTTTTGATTTTGCCATTTGATAAGGGACTTTCCGTTTTGAATTTTCCTTTGAGTTTGGTATTTTTGTTGTTTTGCTTTTTATATATCCAGTCTTAATATCTCCAAATCCATTATAAGACAAATAACTAAACTATAGGTAAAATATAAAAATTGTTACGAGAATACATCTTCTTGTTAAAGACAGTCACTGAAATTGATGATAAGAAATGCAAAATATCGTTTTTTCTATTTCATTTGTCTTTTCTGTTAATTTTCTTTTCACAAATTTTATATGTTGAAAATGTGTATCCCCAATATTTACTGTGCTGTATGATATTTTATTAGATATATATATATATACATGATTTGATACAGTCATCATCAATAATATGACATGGAATAAAGAAATTAAAAAATATCTATTCACAGTTTTAGTTATTTGAGCATTATGGTATATTAAATCACAATCGTTCTCCTGTAAAAGCTGGATTTTCTCGACCAGAGTCCCTCTTTTCATAAAGATTTGGATTTGTTTCAAGGTTATACATTGGTGGATTATTTGCTCGATATCTTAATGAACTATCACGGAAATTGTCTAAATTGATTTCTCCTTGGTCCTGGGGTCTAAGTTGGTGCTCTTTTAATCCCTGGGGCTTTAGTAGTAGGTAATATTCCTGCAAAACAATATGTATTCTCATTTGAATTACATGCGAAAATGTGTTGGTCGTGTATATATTGAAGTATCAACTGAATCAGGAGAATCTATAAGAACTGACAGATCTTAAATCTGAAACGAATATTGTCGATTCCGGAATTGAAAAAGGTTAATCCTCTCATTTTTACCTAAATGATCAAAATACGACGTTATTTTTTTATATTTAAAAAAAATAAAACGAAAAATAAAACAGTACAGGGAAACGGGGAAATTTGTCTCCAAGGACTATGTAACATAGTTTTAGAGGAAGGTGTTCAAATTCAGCATTAATCTATTGGCCATCAATTACATCAACCAAAGATATTGTTTTTAATTTCCAATCGAATTTGTACTTACAGACAAAATGGCCATTAATTACATCAACCAAAGATATTGTTTTGAATTTCCAATCGAATTTGTACTTACAGACAAGATGGCCATCAATAACATCAACCAAAGATATTGTTTTTAATTTCCAATCTAATTTGTACTTACAGACAAGATGGCCATCAGTTTTTATCAACCAAAGATATTGTTTTTAATTTCCAATATGGAGACTGTCTCGTGCTTTCATTCTTGATTCCATCACAAATCTTTTAATAGTTGTGCTTTGCTTACCGACAGGAAGCAATGGTTATCAGTCAAAAGATGTTTGCTCCTTAATCCATAATCCTTTTCAACCGATGAAGATGAATTAAACATTTAGAGAATTTCGTAGCATAATTACACTGATTTTTAATTATTTTAGTTTTAGTAGTTATGCACTGACTGTTATGTTAGCATACGCTGGATGATGGCAATTTATATCCACAGCCTCTTCTGAACATTTAAATGGTGTTTAAGTATACTTTTGTAGAATTGTAGTTAAATATTGTAATTATCGTTTTTCTATTTTTCCACTGTTTTATAGGTATAAGGGGGGTAAAGTTTGAAATTTCAATATTTTTATTGGTATTTAAGCAAAACAAATCGTAACTTACACTTGGTTTCAGACCATATCTCCATATCTGGAACGGTACCATACCAGGAATGAAGACAGCGGCAAACGCAGCCATACTCCATCCGATTGCAATAGCCCATTGTGGATAAATGTATTTCCCTGATGGTCTACTATAATCCAATTCTGAGTAATTAATTGTACTCATAATAAAAATAGCCTAAAATATGAAAAGTGATTCTGTAAATAAAAATACTTTTAAACAAAAAACATTAAAGCTTTTATTCTCAAATAACTATCAAAAACTAGTAATGAAAGGATTGTTGAGTTTTATTTCCTATTTCATGCAAAACAATGATAAGCATTACAAAAAGATATAACTCCTATGATTGAATTATACCATTTCATACCAATTGCAAATGCTTACACTAGCTCAGTAGCCAGTAGTTCGGTAGTGTCATGAAATACGGATAATTTTTTATATTGACAATTACTGTTATAAAATTTTGAAATCATTTAAAAAATAAAGAAATGTATCTTCTTTGTGCATAGCTTTGCTTCCTGGTCCGGGTTTGAGGTTACTTTTGAACCCGATTGGTGTTATGGGCTTTTCAACGTTTGTATTAGGCTGTGGATTTTCAAATATTTTGGCCTCTGGCATCACAGAAGAGGCTTTGCGTGTCGAAATGGTTATCTGGTGCAGTAACTTCGGTACTGTTAGTGTAATACATGTCACTGCCACTAGATCCTGGTGGACTGTTAGTCCCCAAGGGTAACACTAGCTACGTCGCCAGTAATTCGATACAAGCATGGAAAACACGGATATGTTTTATCGTAATAAAATTTTGCAGTAATCATTTTTAGATTAAGGGTTATCTCCCTTATGCTCTGCTTCTTGTTCGGGTTTTGATTCACTTCTGGTTCAGTTTGGTTTTATCGGCTCGTCAACGTTTGTATAGGAATTTGGATTTTCAAATATGTTTGCCTCGAGCATCACTGAAGAGTCATTGATTGTCGAAATGCGCATTTAGTGCAACAATTCGGTACCGTTAATGTTGTTATAAAAGAGGGACGAAAGATACCAGAGGGACAGTCAAACTCATAGATCGAAAACAAACTGACAACGCCATGGCCAAAAGTAAAAAGACAAACAGACAAATAATAGTACAGATGACACAACATAGAAAACCAAAGACTAAGCAACACGAACCCCACCAAAAACTGGGGGTGATCTCATGTGCTCCGGAAGGGTAAGCAGATCCTGCTCCACATGTGACACCCGTTGTGTTGCTTATGTTATTACAAATCCGGTAAATAGTCTAATTCGGTAAGTCATATTCGTGAAAAGGGAGGGTATTGTAGTTACGACATAAGGAACATATACGATATCATCTGTGAAACGGTTATTCCATAAGGGTCAACCAACTCGTGATGGCGTCCGTAAAATATTGTCTACGAAGACCACGAGTAAGAAAGGAAAGTCCTGGTTCTTCCTTATTACCCACAAATTTTTGGGACATGGTTTTTCAATTTTATTTGAAAGTTAAACCGGTCGACAGTTTTCAGCTCTAGATATACTTCCTCCAACACTAGAACTAATCGCTATGAAATTCAAGTATAAAAAGTGGTGTCATAACTCATAAAACAAACAAACTTGCAAACCGATTGGTTTTCGTATTATTACAGAGAAATGGAATCATCTTTATCATTTTTACTAGATACTATTTATAGAGAAAACGTTTAATTGAGAGGGTCTGAAAATGACCGTTAGAGGCAGGTGACCGCTGAAACGAGGTTACCGTTACGGCAGGTTTAACTTTTATATCGGGGTCACATGCCCATCAGCAATTTTCGGAGGTTTGACGGTTAATATGATGACTTCCAGTCTCCAATACGCGAGAAATGTTAATAATTTATCACGATTACATACAAAGGTTATTATAATCAATGGAATTTTTATAATTCTGATATACGTTGTTTGATGTTATATGGCAAATTCCAGAGTTTCGGTCAATGAGGCTACCAATGAAAAACTGTCGAATAAATACCAAAACTTGAAAAAAAAATGGTACTGCTTTAAATGGCTTTTCCGCAGCTAGCATAGAAAACCTTCTTAGAAATTTCCCAAGTTTCAAATTCTTTTCTCATATATATATATATGTACATACCATGAGAAAAATCTTTTCTAAAATATTATAGATATTATCTAACTTTTCTGGTTCATAAAAGAAATATGGAATTATCCATATTCTTATAAATTCTAAAGCAGTGAATGCATAGGGTTTTAAAATGATTATCATTTTATTACCATACAGAAAGCCGGTGCTAGAACTGTCCAACATATCATCATATATGGATTAATTTTAAAACCAAGCATCATTTTAACGTTGTCATAGAAACGTCGAACCCCTGAAATACAAAGAAAATTAATATTTTATACTAATGTACATGTATATTGATAAAAAATGTACCAATAAGACACTCGTAATCAATATATATATATATATATATTTTAAATCTATTCTTGTAATGGTCACCAAATAGATTCAAAATATTTTACTTGGATTTTTTTATTGAATTATTTTACCAATCAACCTTATTCTTTATAATATTTCTACATTTTTATTATGAGTTGATAAAAATTAATCAAATACATAAACAGCCGGGTTGTAAAGAACTTTCTCAAACTATGGAGAAGGGTCTATACTGAATATTTATATTTATATATACTAGTACATTGTATATGTAAATATAAAATGTAAATACAAAATGTAAATGAAAAATCAATACGTTTCGAAGTCTGGAAAAAATAGGAATGATCCTTAAACAATTGAATAATAGTATGTGCACAATTCTAAAATATGTTCAGTTTTTTCCTGTGAAGTTTCAAGGATCTGGATTGAAAGTATATGAAGAGTTGACTACACAAAAAAAGATACCGTCTTTTATAAATTTTGATTGAAAATGACTAAGTTCCTAAGTCTGGAAAAATAAAAAATTCTTTCAGCAATTCCATAATAGCAAGCGCACAAATTCAATACCTTTGTAATCTATATGTGAAGTTTCAAGGACCAGGGTCGAAACTGTAGGAGGACTTGATTACACAAAATAGGTACCGTCGTGAGAAAATTTTGATTGAAATTGACCAAGATTTAAATCTGGAAAAAGGGTGAAAATGCTTAAACAAATCCATAATTGCAGATGCACAACTTGAATATATTTGCAAAAATTTCGCACACAAAATATGTATCTTATATTCCCCGCATGTCTGCCCGACATGACAATACTATAAGCCGGTTTTAAAATTCGTGGAACCCGGACAAATATTTTGTCAGAAAATTATTATGGGAAGAACTATATTTATTTGAAACAAATAGTCATTTCAAAACCAGAAACCCGTTGAAATGCATTAACAAATAATGCAATGTCCAAGGATTAATGTTCAATTTAAATCAAAGCTCAAAATCACATAATCAATGTATAAAAATAAGAAGGTGTGGTATGATTGCCAATAAGATAACAGAGAACAAATGAAGTAAATGAAGAATACTATATTTTTTGTTAACTGTCAAAAATTTCCCCCAATTAAAGATTTAGTAAAATAACGGCAACAGTAGTATACCGCTGTTCAATAGTCATAATTCGATTAAGCAAAAAAAAATCCGGGTAACAAAGTTAAACCGAGGGAAACACATCAACTATAAGAGGAAAACAACGGAACAACAGAAACACTGAACTGCAACAAAAACAAACGCCAACATACATAGAAACGGACTGTCAGATACCAACTGCCATATTCCTGACTTGGTACAGGTCATTTTAAGAAAAAGTGGTGGGTTGAACCTGGTAAAAACATTACTCGAAGTGCTTTTTGACTGATATATGAAAAGTCGCACAAGTAAGAAGCCAGACAGGCAAAAGTGTTATTACCTTCATGTTACGACCTTCATGTTGAAAAAAAAATACCGAGTATATGCAAAAGAGAAGCGAAAGATACCAAAGGGACATTCAAACTCATAAGTCGAAAATAAATTGAAAACGTCATGGCTTAAAAAAGAAAAAGACAAACAGACAAACAACAGTACACAAAAAAAACCATAGAAAACTGAAGACTTCAGCAACACGAACCCCACTAAAAACTGGGGGTGATATCATGTGCTCCGGTGCAATTGCACTTTTGTTAACGTATTAAACAAACGTTTTAATTTGAAGTGGAAGAAAAAATATTGCTTTGTTCTATTTCTTCGAATATTCGGCTTCCAATGAGACGCAATCTTCCATCCTACCCCCCCCCCCCCCACCCCGACCAAAAAAAAAAAGGGTAAAAAAACCAAGAAAAACTTTCTGACATAAAATTGCAAAATTTAATATTTACCATATATCCATGCAATTGCAATGCACTCAAATGCGCCAACAAAAAGAATGATTCTACTTCCAGAGTAATAATCAAACAATTGGAAAACGTACATTCCGCCCTGAAAGGAATTAAAATAGAATTTTTTTTGCTGCTGACTTTGATTAAAAATGTACAAAAATATATTATGCTTCTAAGAAATATATTTTCTCAAATAATCGTGTTAACAAAAATAACATATCGCATGAAATTTAGCAAAATACACTCTGTACATTCTGTAAAAATCATTTTCACATTAACTTTTGGGTCTGTAGTAAACGAGAAAAAGAAACAGTTCTTTGTAAGATGACCTCAATGTAGATGATTTATTTTTTTTGACCTCAATGTAGATGATTTTTTTTTTTTTAGAAAATTGAGATTATAGATATCACGTTAGAGAAAATGAAATAGGATGTTAATTTCAGTAGAAGAAAAAGGGAAACACGATAGAGTTTTATTACAAAGAAAATGTACGTACATTCATCACCATGGGAATTCCAACGAAGAAGTTCAGTATACACACACAACCAATGAAAACCTCTCTTCTGTATCCTTTCCTAAGATAGCCTGGCCATTGGTCCACAACAGCAGTGACGACACCTTCCACACCAACAAACTAAAATATATATCTTAATTTTGTATGTGAAGTGATTACAATCGTTCCACAGTACCCAATACATATTCGTACTGGTAAAACTCTTGATTAAAACAAATTTCTCATTGTTACTCTTGGCACAATTGCTACAGAAACTATAATTCATTTTTTCCTGCAATGTGTAATTATCAACATACAACACATAACAGGCAATAAGTTGATGGCAACATGGACCTCGTGCATACTCAAATGAACATGAAATTTAGGTTTTTGCGTTTCGTTTTAATAAGATTTAGCTCTTTATTTTTTTTTCACTTCACAGGGTCCTTAAAGCTATGGTGTGGTTGAAAATCTACATTAACATCTAAATATTAAATTCTAGATTCCGTTCATTCTTAATTGCTGTATCATTGGTGAATATTAAATCATGTCTCTTTTAATATGTTGTACATAGTCTTTTATTCTACGTCTTTGATGTTGGAAATTTTTTATTTAGATAATGTACGGCCAAAAAGGAAACTTGCGCTTACAAAGGATGTTTAGATTTTTTGTGTTGCTGCGTTGCCATCTAATCGAGGTTTCGCGCCAAATCTCTAGGATTCATATCGAGTATATATAACTAACTCAGAAAGAGAGGCGAAAGATGAAAGATCTCAGAAAGCATCTCGATTCATTTATGGTCATAAACGGCATCACAAGTCTCAACTTTTTGTGCAAAATTGACAAATTTTAAAGAGAAAAGTCAACATTGATAAGATTTTTTTCTAATTGTAATATCTGAATATTATAGAGGAAAATCTATTATGAAATATATCTTTAGGAAATATTTACCTGACTATCCAGTCCCAACAATATTACCATGAGAAAAAAAATAACTGACCAAATTGGCGCTCCAGGTAATTTTGTCACGGCTTTTGGGTATGCTATGAATGCAAGTCCAGGTCCTGTAAAGTTCAATTCATGTTAATACAACAATACAGAGACAGCATTGTATCCTTTATTCTATGGCTCACATGGACAAATTTTGTCTTTATTGTATTGCACGTACTACTTTACAATGATTTTTAAAAGTCCAAAGTCGAAGGTTACTAGCAAGTTCCATTAAAATAAGTAAGATTAGAGCAAAAACAAAACAAAATCATTACTAAAAACATCAGTCAAAGTAGTCACAATAATAACCAACAATCTAAACCAACAATCTAAAACAATCCCAGTACTTATTATAAATAATTCCAAAAACATGAGAAAATCATACCAAATACCTTAAAATATGAAATTGAATGTAAATACCTGTTTGTGAAGGCTGAAACATTTTAATATATTTTCTTCATTTGACAGTTACTCGTGTTAACCAAAATAAGTATATTACGGAAAGGTTTGTCATTTGTATGGATGAATTGGAATTAAATTTGTATTACGGTTCTTACAAGTAAAAATCCGTAATTTGTTCCTCGTTTCCCTCGTTATAGAAACCCTTATCCATCGTTACAGATAATGATAAACCATAAACACTTTATTATAACAGGTGGAAATTTCTAAACGAAATGTTATCTAACTAATGTCTTTTCGATGAGTTTTATTCATTTTAGAATAATAAAAAGCCGTTAATATCTTGTCAGATCGATGTGCACAGTGTAAATACAAGTTTTCTCTCTTTTTATTTTTATTTTATTTTAACATAAATACCTTAATTTTAACAAAAGTAATTTATTTTAAAAGATAAACGCATAAACTTTTAATGTGGTGACCCTGCAAATAGCATTGATATCTTATAGAAGAAGAACTTTTAAAAGAAATACATATGCTTCTTGCATAAGTTTTTTATGGTGATTAAGTCTTTATTCATAAAAGAAAATACATCTATATCCAATAAAACAATTTGATTAAATTAATACAAAGAACTTTATAAGATTCAATGTCTATGATGACAAAAGTATCGTTTCTGACAAAGACTGGAAACCGTAAAAATGCAAAAGTAATATAATGTAATTTTTTAAAAATATATAATTTTTTACTGAATAAAAATATCATTGCTAAGCATGTCCTACCAGATTCCGCTACGTCTGCTACAGAAACACCTTGTTCATACGCCATGTTTCCGAGAATGGTAAAGATGATAAAACCTGCAAAAATACTGGTTCCACTGTTTGTACAGGCAAATAGAATGGCATCTCTGTAACAATAAATAATCATAATTATTGAAAAAAGATGGAATGGAGTCAAATTCTTGATTTGGGATGTTTAGCGTTTCTGGAAAATTTTATTTAGTCTTTAATTTTTTAATTTAACTTAAGTTTCGTTAATCCATAATTAAAAATCGCATATAGATAAACATCATGATATATTTTTAACTTTATCTGACAAAAATACCCACATATTAATCAATTAAGATGGATTTAATACGTTATTTTGTTATGTCTACATTTCTAATGATTTACTACTATGAACTATAATATGTTTACTTGTATTTCTGGCTTATCTCTATTGTAGAGCTATTCTTTGCAATAGAACGTTCAACAAAAGTAGGATACTTGCTTGCCAAATTTGTTAGCTTGAACGATTAAAACTGATATGCGAAGACAATACCGTATTAGTAGGCGCAGTTTCAAAATTAAAATTAAAAAAGGAGATGTGGTATAGTTGCAAATGAGACAATTATCCACGAAAGACCAAAGAAATTGCTGAAATCTAATTTGACTACTCATTTACTAGTAATATAATTTCAATGCAATTACAATGCAACTCATGATCAAAGTCCTTAACAAATTATGCAAGCAAACCTACCAAATTTTATTGAATATACTATCGAAGAAGAGTTTTAAATGTTAGTAATTGATTATCTAGGATAATAGCTCTATTTATACAGCCTATATACTTGTATATAAATCACGTCATAAGTCTGAATTTGATGAACATTTTTAAATATATTACATAGAATGCTTTATATTCCAAAACAGTGAATTCACAATGAGTGTAAGAAATATGATAAAATGTTTTGTGTGCTGTGCTTATGCATTCGAAAGCTGAGTGCAAATTGATTGTTTATTGATTGTTTAACATCCAGTTTCAATTATTGCATGCAAATTCAGGGCGAGAATCAAGCATATACGGGGCAAGAAAGCATGCAATATAAAGGTCGAGAAACTCTGATACAATAGGGTAGGTTCTACAAGGATGAACAAGAGGTGTGAAGAGTGGGAAATTTTAACTGCCATTGGAATACAATAGTATGCTGGATGCAACTATATATATATATCTATTTATTCTGAAAAAGCTAGGGTCTAATCCTGAATATCAATGATTCTGTGTTTATCAATCATCTAGTTTACCTGTGCGAATTAGCATTGAACTTATTATAACTTCCGAGCGCCGTGAGAGCTCCAACAGCTATAGAATACGAGAAAAATATTTGTGTCCCGGCATCTATCCAAACCTGTATCAGTAAAGAGTTTGGAAAACATATATATTCATTATTTTCCTTAAAAATCTCCGACAAAATATGTCAAAAAAAGGCGGAAGATATCAAGGGGAGAACCAAGAAAAGGGCGGAAGATACCAAGGGGAGAACCAAGAAAAAAGCGGAAGATACCAAGGGGAGAACCAATGAAAAGGCAAAAAAACCCAAGGGGAGAATCAAGAAAAGGGCGGAAGATACCAAGGGGAGAACCAAGTAAAAGGCGGGAGATACCAAGGGGAGAACCAATGAAAAGGCGAAAAATACCAAGGGGAAAATCAAGAAAAGGGCGGAAGATACCAATGGGAGAACCAATGAAAAGGCGGAAGATACCAATAGAACCAAGGAAAAGGCGGAAGATACCAAGGGGAGAACCAAGAAAAGGGCGGAAGATACCAAGGGGAGAACCAAGGAAAAGGCAGAAGATACCAAGGGGAGAACCAATGAAAAGGCGAAAAATACCAAGGGGAGAACCAAGAAAAAGGCGGAAGATACCAAGGGGAGAACCAATGAGAAGGCGAAAAATACCAAGGGGAGAATCAAGAAAAGGGCGGAAGATACCAAGGGGAGAACCAATGAAAAGGCGGAAGATACCAAGGGGAGAACCAAAACTCGTTTGTTGAAGAAAGACCGACACAATAGATTTTGTACAATATAAAGGTCATTGAATCCAATGCCAGAAAACATCATCGAACTGTTGACTGGATATTCAAAACATGCTCCTTTGTCAATTAAATAAAATATGATGTCTCAAATGACAATATAAGACATGTTTGTATATTTTTATTAAGCGTTTTAATATAAAATATATAATATATATCTGAAATGTTAGTACTAAGATAACAGTAAAACTTTTAAAAAATTCATTACATACAGGCTCAACCAAATCGACCATTACCTCTGATAGAATACTATTACCTGTACGAGTTATCTTTAAACTTATTATAACTTCCCAGGGCCGTGAGTGCTCCAATTGATATAGAATATGAGAAAAATATTTGTGTCCCAGCATCAACCCATACCTAAAATAATTTCAGACTTTTTTTCAAAACTAAAAAGTTAAAATATGTTTTTATATTATATTAGCATGACTTTCTCATTATGCATCTTCTGAAAGTGTTACTGCATCTGGGAAATTTGAGATAATGATGCTATTTCTTTTTTATCAACACTAATTGTTCTTTATAGAACAAGAGAAAATATAAAATAATCATCCATTACTTCTATGTAAATAAGGTGTAGGCGTCTCATATCGTGGCACAAACACGTTGTTTCGTGTGTACATAGATATACAAGTAAGTCTTAAATCTTAGCCTTATATCATATTGTCAGTATGTCTCTCAATATGTTACAAAATGCAAAGTTGATTGCTTAATTTCAACACATTTTAATCTAGTCATATTCACATTATAGTAGTACACATTAACATTGTAATACTACATATCAGTCACATTGTAATACTACAAATTCACATGGTTATATAAATTTTACACATCAAAAGTGTAACATTACACATTAAAATTGTAATACTACACATAAACATTGCAATATTACTAATTCACATTGTTACACATTCACAGTGTAATATCACACGTTCACATTGTAAAACTACAAATTCACATTGTAATATTACACATTCATGTTGTAATATCACACTTTCACATTGTAATACTACAAATTCACATTGTAATATTACACATCCAATTTGTAATATCACACGTTCACATTGTAATACTACAAATTCACATTGTAATATTACACATTCATGTTGTTATATCACACATAGGGTACGTAGACTGTCAAAGTAAAGTTATCTGATTGTTTGCTAATATAAAATCCAAAGTTTCATGGTGCTGTTAAATATCAATTACCATGGTGAAAAATTTGTTAAGATTAAAACATTGCTAAATTAAAACCATACTGAAAGCTTCAAACTTCAAAACCTCCCTTACCTGTAGGAATTATCTTTGAACTGATTATAACTTCCCAGAGCAGTCAATGCTCCGAGGGAGATTGAATACGAGAAAAATATTTGGGTTCCAGCATCAACCCATACCTAAAATAATTTCAATTTTTTTTCTCAGATAATTTATAAAGATAAGAAGATGGTGTATGATTGCAATGAGACAACTCTCCACCAGAAACTTAAAATGTGTTTATGTAATTCATATATGTCTAATTTGCAAAGAAATAATGTTCAGTTTTAAAAACTCGATTTGTCAAGAACAGCAAAAGCTTGAAATGAGGTACTCTGAAAAACATCAATGACGATTTGAAATACAAGAAGTTAAAGCTTATTAAGGCTTACATTCTTTTTTGCGAATGTTGGTATCGTGTTTATGAGATGGTTTCCTTCAAATTGTTACAATAGTATCGCCTTTTCACAAAAAATAAATTTAATGCTGTAGTGTTTTCATAGCTATAACAATTAAAAAATAAGTTACAAAAACTAATTATAATTGGTTAATCACCAAAACATAAATCTGAAGACCACAAAACAGTACGAGCTAAAAGACCGAAACTGTGGGCCAAATATTTGGAGTTAAGGTCTTTGAGTAATTGTATCTTTTGACCATTTCCTTAATTTTTCCTTTATTCTCGTTATAATTTCGCAATATTTATTTTGTTCTTCAGATTGATACATGTTTTATAATAAGATAGTTAGGCAAGGATAATTGTGGTACTGAAACTTAACTTCGCAGATTTCTTACCGAGAGTAGACAGGTTGCTACTTTTTATGGTACATCAATATGTAATAAATTAATTAATTGTTTTCCTTATTCAATGAGGATTGCTAATAGGCCACATATTTATAATAACTCTCCGGGCATATTTTACCTCCATTTTTGCCATTTTCTCCCAGTCTGGCGTAACGTAAAATTTTACACCTTCCGCTGCTCCATCCAATAAGGCGTTTCTGATCAGCAATATTGTCATAAAGATATACGGCGAAGTGGCAGTTATGTACATTACCTACAATACAAAATACCTTGAATATGAAAAAATATTTTGATGAATGTAGCCGTAAACTGAAAAATACAGATAGTTTTATACTTAGACTGATTGATCAACTGATTGGTGAGTGGGTGCAGGATCTGCCTAAAATTCCGGAGCACCTGTGATCACCCCCGGTTTTGGTGGAGTTCATGTTGCTCAGTCTTAAGTTTTCTGTGTTGTGTTTTATATATACTGTTGTTTGTCTTCTGATCTTTTTTCGTATTTTGCCAAAGCATTGTTAGTTTGTTGTAGACTTATGAGTTTGAATATCTCTTTGATATCGTTTCCCTTTCTTTTTAAGTTGCGTCCATTTTATACTTAGACATCTACTGATTATTCGTGATTTTTTTCGTATTTTAATATGAAAAATTGTGTCTTTTATCCCCGATTGTTTCATTTTTATCTATTTAACACTATACATTCCAGAGAAAACGCAGCGATAAATTTTATTGTTCTTGAAAATTAATAGATTAAACCTGATTTTCTAATATGTTTGAAATTAGCATACATTGAATTTCTTTTGAATATGTTTTGTAGGGTCAAAATCAGAAAGTTTTAAAACAAATTGAAACTTAATATCAAAATCTCTATATGATAAAATTAAAACATTTCTAACAATTTTATATATTTCCAGAAAGTCAAAATGATTTTTATCTGTATTTCAAACAAACAAAAAATAAAACTAGAAAAAAAAATCACTGAAATTTGGATTTTTGGCAGCAGTATTTTGGTCAAAACTAGCGTGTGTCTTAAGATATAACGTTAAATAAATTTGGCAAAGTTGGTTTTCCATTGTAAAAAAATCATACAAATACAAAATAGATATTAAAAAACGTACATGTGGTTATAGGCACAAAACAAGAACAAAAAACAATAAACAAACATGTATAACAATATATTATATAAAACATATATGGTGGTGTGGAGAAGGCTAAAACAATATACATAGTAACATTACATAGGGTAATGCTAATTTGTTAAGTGTAAATTATTCTAGTAATGGAAGCCAGGGGTCCCAGTAGAGGTTGGCAATGTGAAGAGGCTTTGTTTTAAAAAATATATTCTTTTCTAGTATTAGATTTTCTTTTAGATTATTTTTCAGCCCTGCAAAACTGACTTGATTTTCACACAGTTTTGTTCTATAAATAAAGAATTTTGATAATAGTATTATTAAATTTTTTATTTTATTATTTTCTGTTTTTCCTAAATTTCCAAATAAAATTATATCCATGTTAAACGGAATAATTATTTGTGTTTGGTTATAAATCCAGTCACCGAGTCTTATCCACAGATCTGCTATTTTATGGCATGTCCAAAATATGTGTTCAATATCTTCGGTAACTTTATTGCAGAAAGTACATTTATTGCTTTGTTTTATTTTTATTTTAAAAAAAAATTATTTGTGCCCAAGATTCTGTGTATTATTCTATACTGGAACCATTGAAGTTTTGAGCTTTTTGTGGCGTAAAAAGACATACTATGCACGGTTTTTCAATCAAAATTTTTGTTCAGTGTTACAGTGTTAAGGACCATTTGTCTTCACAGTTAAGTTTAGTACTGTTGTTTTTTCTAATAGAGCATTATACATATCTTTCGAGCCTTTTTTTGATAAAAAAAATATTCTTATATTATTTGGAATAATTGGTCCTTGTGTTTTATTAAGATTGTTTATGGATATTTCTTTCCTGAGAGCTTTTTTATATGATTTTATTGATGAAATTACCCCATTATAAGTAGGAAAGTTTGACTTAATTTTATAAATGTTTTGGAATTGTTGAAAAGTCATTAGTTTTCCCTCATCGTTTAATAGATCATTTATCAAAAAGATCCCTTTATCTGCCCAGTCTTTATAGAAATTAGATGTTGTTCCTATTTTTAATATTTTCATTATTCCAGAGCGAATCTGATACAAACTCGTTTTTATTTTTTGGTATAAATTTATTTTGTAAATCTGTCCAAGCTTTAAAGACCTCTTCCCAAAAAGGGTTTTTACATGTTTTTGTTGGGCCTAAATAAACTAGGTTTTCAATACTGATTTTTTCAGTTCTTTCTAGTAGCTTATTTAGTTTTGGGTTGTTTTTCAACAACCGTCTAATCCATGTTAGTTTCAATCCTTTTATATATTTGTCAATATCTATCATTTTCAGCCCTCTTAATTTGTGTTCAGAACATAATATTTCTCTTTTTATCTTGTCAGGTTTGTTTTCCCAAATAAATGAATACATTTTGTCAGTTAGTTGTATTAAAGTATTTTTGCATGGTGCTTGTAATGTTAAAAACAGATGGTTCAATTTTGAAATATTTAGTGACAAACTTTGTTACGAATGATATCTTCCATTATGAAATGATTTGTATCTGAAAGACAACATAAACAATTCCAATTGAAGTTAGGTTGTGGTTTCCGTCTTCCTTTAGATAAATACTCCAAATACTTGACAAAATCTATTAAAACTGCAGTTTTGGGTTATCTATAGGCATCTATAATTTGGTCAAACGGTTAGGAATATGTCTTATAAAAATATGGTTCCCCGGTTAGGGGGAGGATTTGGCGCCAGCAAACATATTGAACCCTGCCACATTCTATATTTGATTGCCCAAGTCAGGAGCCTGTAATTGAGTGGTTGTCGTTTACTGCTGTTTCTCATATTTGTTTTTCGTTTATTGTTTTGTAGTTTATGTGTTATGCCGTTACACCACTGTCCCAGGTTAGGGAGAGGGTTGGCGCCTTCAAACATGTTTAATCCCGGCACATTCTTTATGTGCCTGTACCAAGTCAGGAGCATGTAGTTCAATGGTTGCCGTTGGTTTTTATCTGTTATATTTGTTTTTCGTAAATTGTTTTGGTATAAATTAGGCCGTTAGTTTTCTCAATTGAAATGTTTCATAGTTTTAATATCAGGCCTTTTTATAGCCAACTATACGGTATGGGTTTTTCTCATTGCTAAAGGTCGTACGGATGTCTACATTTGAACTTTGGTGGATAGTTGTCTTATTGGAAATCATACCACATCTCCTTATTTTTATATTCGAACCTCAAAGTACACTGATGAAACTGTCATACTTCAAGTAAAGATTAAAAGACTTTTTGACAATGGCTTTGGTATGAACTAACCCAGGGTGAATTGGTCCTACCTTTTTAATTCTTAATTTGAAAATTACGTTAATTTAATAAGATTTACCTTCCCTGAGGATTTAATTCCTTTACAGATGCAAAGATAAACCACAATCCATGCAAATAATAAACAAAGACAAATGTCCCATTTCACAACTCCCATGTCATGTATTCCTTCTGATATGCCTAAAGCTTTGTTTCTGAAAGAGACAAAATGGTAAATATGAGAATGAACTATAGGTATTGTTCAAATCTTAGTTGTATCAATTAACATTAAGCATCGAAGTCTTGAAGTCTTGAAGACAGAGGATTGAATATGCATGTATGTACAGATTTTATGAAGAGTTATATCTCCATAAACCTTGTATTACTGGCACCAAACTACTATCGAGTCTCATAGATCAGAAACATGATAAAGTTAGTCTGTCAATTTATTAAGCAATATAAACAGAAAGCAATGTTTATTAGCTACTCCAGAAAATATGTGATTCAGATAAAGATCCTGAATAATGATGATTCATTCATGGCGAATATACTCGTCCTATCAGTGCGACTTAGTTTCGATTCGTTCAATCGTGCGATTCTGTTAATGCCCAGGGCTGATATCTTTAGATTAGGACAAAAATGTGTAATAGTATACATTTATATAGGAGGTAAACTGGTCATTACTTCTGAATTTTGTTGAAAAATAAATATAATTTTAGCTGAAGTAACACAAGTTCAACAAACGTTCTCGTTTTAAAATAACTTTATATACTCTGAGATTTATCTCATTTCCAAGATAACACACACACAAAAAAAAACCACACTGCACTAATATCGTGTGCCACTTTCTGCAAAATGTCGAATATGCCTTCTAAAAGTTTTAAACACGTGTTGACCATAGGCCCAGACCGAGGATCAGTCCGTTTACATAGGACTTGTGGTTTGAGAAACTTACGATCAACATAGTATTCCAATGTATACAGTATTTTTTTAAAGGTGAGAAATATTTGGATGCACTTTTTGCCAGTCATGTGATTGAAGTCATGTGATTGAAATTGAAGATTAAGAAACCTTTGATGTTGTGGTTTATTATACCAATTTATGATTATAAATATGCCAGAAATATTATATATAAATAGTTCTTACTCCCAAAATTCTGTAGTTGGATCCAGTTTCAAAGTTTGATTGGAGCAGTACGTGAGATTTCCATACTTTACTGTATCAGAACAGTTGATTGACCTTACATTGACAAAGTCAACGCAGTATTTGTTCCATTCATGGCCACATTTTGCCCATGGAAGATCTCCTGTTGTGAAGGAACTGAAGAAGTAATAAAATGCCCATGCCAGAATGACATTGTAGTAGCAGTTGAGGAAGAATACAATGATTGTCGTAGATATACCAATACCTGAAAAACAATCACAAGTTATTACATGACACTCTTTGCTTTGAAAGGTTCCCTGTGAGATCCATTTTTGCGATCTAATTCGAAATATTTTGTCTATTCAAAACAAGAATATCATCTAGGCAACGGTTAGTGTTATTCTTTTTTCTCTATCAATTTAAATTAGACGGAATATTAGGACTATATTTTACCATTAACTGTGATTCATAACAAAATAGGAACAAACCTGTTATTAAGGGTCGCAACTGGTGCTCATATGAACACAATCAACCTGTTTATAAACTTTGTTGCCGAAACAACATCTATATATGTTTATAAAATTTATTGCCGAAACAACATAGATGTTCTTTTTGTAATACCACTACAACATTGTTGGCTGCTTTGTCTGCGATACAAACCCAAATGATAAATGAGATATGAGATATCTTTAATATTCATTCATCAATTCTTATAATCAGGAATCAAGCAATTTCTATTTATCAAATTCCTCCCGTTTACTCCAATTTTTATAATAGGAAGAAAGAGTATCTTGAATGACTTGGCAACACCTTTTCCAATTTGTTTCCGATATACATGTCAGACGATTTTTTAGTACTTTTTTTTCAAAAAGTTTATAACCTCACTGTATTGAACGATGTTGATGTCCCCTGTAATGATATGGTCATAAAAGACATCTTGTAGCAAAATATCATTTTGGGTAAAGCTGATAATCATATATAGCCATCGATGTAAAAAAATAAAAAAAGAAACCTTCTTTACTGCATCAAATTTAAAGGTCTAAAACAAATGTTGAAGTCAAAATTCAAAATAATTATAACTGATATATAACAGCCTGATGTTTTGTAAACACCTGAATGATGAAGTATTCAACTAATATTACTTCATGATTTTTTAAATTTCAAAATTGTGGCTTTCTTATATCTTCGTTTCGGTTATATCAGCCAAATTACAATTATGTTTGATATAACAAGAGTTTTTGTATTTAATGCTTTTAAAATGAATAAATAATGTTCTTCATTTTGTTTTTTCATTTGTAATTGTGCATGGGAAAAAGTAATTATACTAAACTGTTTTAGCAAAAAATTACCTTGAAGTAACGGACATATCTTCCATGCATTTAGTCCAGCGATGCCCATAAACTGCCCAACAGCGACCTCTAGATAGAATAATGGTATACCACCGACGACTACACATATTAGGTATGGAATAAGGAAAGCACCTGAAATTGAAATCATATCATAATTATATATTTTAGATGGAGTTATATGACAACGAGACCGCAACTCAAAACACAAGTTAACCAAATCAGAGTTCACTATTAGATTAAATCTTCATTTGGTCTTTTTAATTTTTTTGGAAGGAGCGTCACTGATGAGTCTTTTGTAGACGAAACGCGCGTCTGGCGTACAAAATTTTAATCCTGGTATTTATGATGAGTTTCTTCACAGCCTCCGAGAAAGATTTGAAATAAAAAATGTAATAAAGCATACAATTATATCACCGGATTATTTTTAATCAGTTGAAATTAGATGCGAGTAAAAAATCAGACAAATGTTTCGTACGCAGCAATCTCCCATCAATTATATAATGGTAAGTCTTATGCTGGTACTAACTTCCAAGTTATCAATAAAAAGACATTCCTTTTGAACATTGTTTATGTCTGTCATAAATGACCGTGATATATGTTTACAATTGTATTATACAACTGTAGTTACAATACAGCAAACACTAAAGCAGAATGAATTTCTGTAATAAATTAAAAAGGATTTAAATCAGGCGGTTTATTTTCTCTTCATTTTGTTATCCCGAGAAATTTTATAACATACTATATGTTTCGATTCTTTCTCGTAGTTTTAGGTTTTATTGATTGGCTGTTTGTATCTGCTGTGGTAGGCGGGATGGGGTGATCAAAAGATCACCTTACTCGAGTTTTTCAGATATTTCCAAATTATTTGAACTGATTTTTCTAATTATATCTGAACTAGACTCTCCTGACAAAAGGTTCGCGATCTTTTTGTCTGTGTTTTTCCCCTTAAGTTTTGCTATAGTTTGCCCAAGACACAATCCTGATAGTATTTAAGCTAATTTCACAATTCATATTTTTTTTCACAATTTGTTCAGTTCCAATCGCCTGTCAATTTACTACTACATGTATTTATCAATACTTATTTTATTCTTTGCCATATAATTAAAACATGTGCAGGAGAGACTTCACAGAGAGTACCTACTTCCAATGGTACAACGTTGGAAGACGTATCATATAAACAGAATAGACACCTACATTGATGGAAAAGCAACAGTAGTATACCGCTGTTCAATTGTCATAAATCGATTAAGCGAAAACAAATCCGGGTCACAAACCAAAACCGAGGGAAACACATCAACTATAAGAGGAAAACAACGGAACAACAGAAACACTGAACCGCAACAAAAACAAACATAGAAACGGACTATTTGATAACAACTGCTGAACGATGTTATCATTACATTATCTGTGAGAAGTTTTCTTGCTTCGTGTCTTTTATCCTATATTATTCTCCTTCAAATGTGAAAAAGTTTTCAGCATGCACTACCATGTAGACATTTAAGACACGATCAAAATCCTCTAAATGTTCATAATTATTTTTTTAGTCTTATTTAATCTCCAAATGTATTCCCACACGGAGTTATTTGTCTAGTCAGTCAAATGTAAATTACATTTAAAGTTATGTCACATATTGAGATGAAACAGTTCATGAATAATATAAATACAAATCACGATCTTTGAAAGAAATCAATGTTTTAAGTGCACGTGTATTCATACATTTCATTGTGCACAATTTCTTTTAAATCTTTGGTTTGAAATAATTCAGTAAATTGAAATACGACTTAACCAAGTGTTTCATTTTAAATTCTGTTTCACAGCTTGATTTCATGCGAGTTATATAATTGCATGCATGAGCTTTAGCTTCCAGTTTTGGGCATTGTGTGTTGTTTGCGCTTATTTGTCTGGTTCTTGTATTGTCGCTCTGTATTCGATTTCTGACTATTGAAAGGAGAAGGTACACAAAGGGTCGATATTGCTCCTCAAATTTTATACTGATGTAAAGTTATTATCAACATTTAATGACCAATACAAAATAAAAATAAAAACTTGTTCAATCCACCAGTGACGTCATAATTTCCACTACAAGGGCGATTAAAAACATCATAATAACTGATTTTGGTCCAAAATCGGAATATTTGGCTTCAAGACATTTTCCTCATAGTCTGACATAATTTTTGTTAGGAAGTGTCTCCATATATACATTCCTAAATAAAATGCTCCGCAGGGCGCAGCTTTATACGACCGCAGAGGTCGAACCCTGAACAGTTGGGGCAAGTATGGACACAACATTCAAGCTTGATACAGCTTTGCATTTGGATTGTGATTAAATATTTGACACAGCATAGGTTTCTGACACAGAATGAATGTGGTCTAAGAACTTAAAAATTTTAAATCGGACATTCACGTATTATGGTCCAATATCCAAAATCTAAATACATGGTTAGATTCAGCATATCAAAGAACCCCAAGAATTCAATTTTTGATGAAATCAAACAAAGTTTAATTTTGGACCCTTTTGACCTCAATGTGGACAAAGTTGATAACGGGGCCCAAAAATTAAAAATCTAAATACATGGTTAGATTCAGCATATCAAAGAACCCCATATATTCAATTTTGTTGAAATCAAACAAAGTTTAATTTTGGACCCCGATTTGGGCCAACTTGAAAACTGGGCCCATAATCAAAAATGTAAATATATGTTTAGATTCAGCATATCAAAGAAACCTAAGAATTCAATTTTTGTTAAAATCAAACTAAGTTTAATTTTTAACCCTTTGGACCTTAATGTAGACCAATTTGAAAACGGAACCAAAAATTAAGAATCTAAATACACGGTTAGATTCGGCATATCAAAGAACCCCAATAATTCAATTTTTGATGAAATCAAACAAAGTTTAATTTTGGACCCTTTGGACCTCAATGTGGACCAATTTGAAAACGGGGCCCAAAATCCAAAAACTAATTACACGGTTAGATTCAGCATATTAAAGAACCTCAAGAATTCAAGAATAAAACCCCATTGAAATTGGTCAAGAAATTTATACGAAGTATCTTCTTTTACACAATACTGTGCAATTAAATATTTCTTGCTATTGCGCAATACTGTACAATTGACAATTTCTTGCTATTGCGCAATATTGTGCTATTGGATATTTCCTGCTATTGCGCAATACTGTGCAATTGAAGATTTCTTGCTATTGCGCAATACTGTGCAATTGAAGATTTCTTGCTATTGTGCAATACTGTGCAATTGAAAATTTCTTGCTATTGCACAATACTTATTATATAATAATTTACACATCCTGTTTGGTGTGTATCTCCTACCATATCATTATTATTTGCTTTTAAATATAAATCAGAAATAACCAACTTAAAATGGAAAATTTTAAAAGAAAAAAAAAGGAAAAAAAGAAAAAAATATGAAAAAAAAAAAATCCCCCCCCCCAAAATTTTTTGAACCCCCTTATGATTCATCACCCCCAAACTCAATCCCAGCCTTCCCTTTGTGGTATGGTACCTTGCAGTACAATTTCAGAGAGATCCATCACTTGAACACAAGTTATTGTCTGGAAACTAGAAAAATATGTTTTTTGGCCCCTTTTCGGCCCCAAATTCCTAAACGTTTAGGGCAATTACCCCCAAACTCAAATCCAGCTTTCCCTTTGTGATATGGGACCTTGTAGTACAATTTCAGAAAGATCCATACACTTACACACAAGTTATTGTCCTGAAACTAGAAAAATGCTTGTTTTTTGCCCCTTTTTGGCCCCTAATTCCTAAAATGTTGAGGCAATTACCCCCATCATCAATCCCAGCCTTCCCTTTGTGGTATGGTACCTTGCAGTACAATTTCAGAGAGATCCATACACTTGAACACAAGTTATTGTCTGGAAACTAGAAAAATGCTTATTTTTGGCCCCTTTTTGGCCCCAATTCCTAAACGTTTCGGCAATTACCCCCAAACTCAATTCCAGCTTTCCCTTTGTGATATGGAACCTTGTAGTACAATTTCAGAAAGATCCATACACTTACACACAAGTTATTGTCATGAAACTAGAAAAATGCTTGTTTTTTGCCCCTTTTTTGGCCCCTAATTCCTAAAATTTTGAGGCAATTACCCCCAAAATCAATCCCAGCATTCCTTTTGTGATATGGAACCTTGTGGTACAATGTCAGAGAGATCCATACACTAACACACAAGTTATGTCTGGAAGTTACAAAAATGCTTTTTTTTGGCCCCTAATTCCTTTACTGTTGGTACCATAACCCCCAAAATCAATCCCAACCTTCCTTTTGTGGTATTGAACCTTGTGGTAAAATTTCATAGAGATCCATTCACTTAAACTAAAGTTAGAGTGCGAAAACCAATGTGTCTTCGGACGACGCCGGACGACGACGACGACGACGACGACGACGCCAACGTCATACCAGTATACGACCACAAAAAATTTTTTGCGGTCGTATAAAAATCAGGTTACTAATCCTATTAACACAGTTTTAATATCGTGTTCTGAATAATTTTGTATATTTTAAAATGTCGATATAGGTTTTCGTTGGGATATGACAAATCTCAAATTTAGGGTCTTATTAAGATCTTCCTGTCTCTACTATTTTGCCACTTTGGTAATCTTGTAGATATCATCATATACAATAAGACAGGAACTGACAGTTAAGACATTTGGCAGTTAAGCTGATTGCATATTTGAATGTTCTTTTTCGTTTTGCTTGGTTAAGTGCTTGCATGTTTTCAAAAGTAACGGGCATCTCAGATAGAAAAGCCTGTCGTTATTATGCTTTTGGTAAAGTGAACAGTCGTATGAATATTTCTTCTTATTTTGTTTCGGTCAAGGCTTTAGTAATCATGGTCGTATTCGTCTTGGTACGTAACTTTAAATGTCAAATATAATGTATTTTGAATTTGTAGGTACATTGTATATAGTTCAAATAGTGTACCTTTGATAGCAAACCGAAAAATACGGGAGTGAAAAAAAACGTATTTCATAACATAATATAAAATATAAAATTACCCTTGTACCCTTGGACAAAAATTTCTGCTAGATTATACGGGAAAATGAAACATATATCAGATTTACATAATTTTACATGACATATATTGTAAAAAAAAAAGCTT